GTTGTAAATAAGTACAACTGAGCACCCTGAATATTATATATATCCTACTCATTATAAATGAGAAAGTTCGGATGTATGGATGTATGTATGTTCGTTTTATGTTTGTGACAAGTAAACGCAAAAAATACTGGTCGAATCGGTCTGAAATTTGGTGTGATGATAGCTCACATTCCTGATTAAAATATAGACGCATTCTTATCTCAAAAGTCCTTTCGGGCTCCGCCCCAGTGGCTCTGGATTTTCCCATGTTAACCTTATGAGTAATCATATTTAAAAGGAATAAAAGAATTTTGTCAGCTGTTTCAACTACACAAGTTGGTTCTATGATATTACATAGCATTAAAAAGTTATAAAGTTTACCAACAGGGTGCAGTTACAACTGAGCACCCTGAATATTATATATACCCTTTTTTCACCACACTATGATGTTTTTGGCTGTATTACATACGTTAATTGGTGGCTGAAAGTTACGTTTTGCTGGCCATGCCAGCTGTCATCGTAATTTGGGGACCGAGCAGGTTTTTACAGGCAGGGGCCGCAAAATCAGCTGTCCGCTTACTTAAAACATGAATGCATTTTAAATACACAATCAAAATCCATAGCATTGCAATAGAATTGTGTTATTGTCACCGTTGCCTAGCAACTATTTATTTTTATTTTTGCTGATTCCTCAAATTATTTCTTCACATAACCTTAAAGTTGCAGTTGTGTTGACTATATTATAGTCGTGAATAGTGGTAATAGGGTATAGTGTGGTGAAAAATAGCGTTCGTACCACGGGCCGAAATGGTTTTGCAGCTCTCGATCGATTTAAGTTCTCGACTTCGTCTCGAACTTAAAAACTATCTCGAGCCGGCAAAACCTAATTTTCGGCCCTAGGTACGAAATATACTATTTGGGTACTGTGGTATTTTGATTTACTTAGTAATATATATATATATATATATATATATATCTTTTTTATATATATAAATTTGAATGAATGGTGTTTTTAGCCTCTGGGGGACATCAAAATGAAAAAGTAAATCAGTCCCGGGCATAGGTCTTACCATGAGACCTACAGTAATAGCTACTTCCCTATAGGGAAATTTGCTAAACCCAATAGAATTACCTTCCCTGTAGCAGCAAACCTAAGTACTCATTAAAATTAAATGTTATATAATATAAAAAGTAACTAGTTTAAGGAAATATTTAGGTAGAAATCCAGCCAGTTATATGGAAATTCGCTTAGTCCGCAGGATTGCTGCGGCGGGGGTAGTTATTTATTTATTTATCGATTCAGCTTGTTGGCCTATGGGAACGAGGCATTATGGGATAATAAAAGGTTTTTTCCAATTTTTGATCTTCAAAACATAGTTCTTTTGGAGTATATTTCTAAACCATTTTGTAGGGCTAAAAAACAAAACTAGGCTAATAATTTTGTACATTGAAGCGTTGTACTAGTTAATTGAATATCTTTTTGAATTTCGATTTTATTCCTATAGAGAATAAGTAAAAATTGTTGTAGCTCGCTTGTTTATGGATACTGGTTGTTCTGCCCCGTACTTTGCAACGGGGCAAGAATACTACTGAAGAAAAGTTACCCAAAGCTACGTTACCAAAACAGTTACCTTACCATGAAAATTATACATGCAAATCTCATACTTTTCATTCATTGATCATACTTCATTTTTGCTTATTTTAATTAATATCTCTATTGTAGTTGCATTAAACAACTAGACATTCCATCCCCATGTTAAAGTTGTAGCCAGGTTTTAAATAAAATTTGTCTTAGTTGATGTGAGCCACCTACAGATTGCGCTGATCTAAATTACTGATTTCTGCCGATTACATGATGGTTTTCACCAAGTCAAACTGATGGAATGACTTATTATGAGCTATAGCAACTGTTGTGACCCAGCAACTATGTCAGTAACGAAAAATAAGGTACAAAATAGAGTTTTAGACACTAGCGCAATCTGTGACTGGCTCACACAACTACATTCTTTTTTAGTAAAAAATTGGCGACAGCTGATCCATTTAGATGGGATGTCTTAATGATTAAACTGTGTGGCAGAATCTAAACTATCTAATAACTTTATTGTAATGTAACATCTTAAATTAGAATCAAAAGAGTAACTCAGGGAAAAAGTAAGCAAACAAACTATAAATAAACAAATCTAACAGCTGATGCATCTTAAATATTATTGAAATCACAGGGTTATTGAAAGTGCGGCTTTCTCAAAAGTTTATTTTGATCAAATCTAGAAAAGCCATTGATGTTTTACTACAGAATACACTTTATTACATTCCTTGTGGTAGTAAATCTAAGTACTCATTAAACCTATATTGTTGAGGAATAAATTTTTTTTGTTTAAGGGAAAATTATATCAGGCAAATGGGAATTAGCTTATTTAGAAGGTTTGCTGCGGCGGGGGTATATACTATAGATATGGTTCTATCTGACACACACATAGGTATCCCCGCCGCAGCAAACCTGCCGACTAAGCGAATTTCCATTAGGCCTATCCTGAATTATTGATTTTCAATTAAATGTATTTAATTAACATTAGGTTTTATGAGTACCTAGGCTTGCTGCTACATGGAGGGTATAAAGTGGGTTTTTTAGTAAAATATTATTAACTTAGTATAAAATAAATAAATTGACCAATATTGATCAAAATATATCCATAAACAAGCAAACTACTGTACAACATTTTACAATATTCTCTATAAGAATAACATGGGAATTTTAAAATAACAATTTTTTGAATTTTCTCCGTAACCAATAATTGAACAAAAACACTTTGAGATACTAAATTATTTGTTTTTTTAAGCTCTTTAAAAAGGTCTGGAGAGAAATTGGGAAAATTTGTGTTTAGATGGTCAAAAATTAGAAAACCCAATTTTCAGCCCATAAAACTCACGTTCGCGAACTCATTCAAGTTTATCCTGCCTTACACTTCAAACCAAATTTCATCAAAATCGGACAAAAATTATTCAATTTAGGTGTTCACGTAATAGGGCTGCTTGTAATAACATTTTAATGTTATTTGAAGTTTGAAAATGGACAGTTGTACTTTATTTACTATATAAATCTATATATATAATATATATATATACATATATACAAATTTGAACGAATGGTGTTTTTGGCCTCTGGGGACATCAAAATGAAAAAGTGAATCGGTCCCGGGCCTAAGTCTTACCATGCCACCTACAACATATTTATTTTATTTTTATTTTTATTTGATTTATAGCTACTTCCCTATAGGGAAATTTGTTAAAAACGGCCTGAGCATTGCCTCCTCTAATACGACCATGTCAAGACCAAGGTGGCAACACCATTATCCCGGCAAACTGAAACAGCTGTTGCATTAATCTATAATGGAATGTATAAACAGTGTTATATGATTGAAACATGCTTTACATTGGCGGAGGCCCGAGTCAATGAGACAACTAATAGTTGTTGTAAACATAAAAGTTATTCTTATTAAGAATAAGTAAAATGTTGTAGTTTGCTTATTTATGGATATACTTTGAACACATTGTGAAAAATTGGTTTATTTCATCCTTATCTATTATCATTTTACTAAAAAAAACACTACATTACTTTTCCCGTGACAGAAAACTCAAGTACTCGTTAAACGTAATGGTCTAAATAGAGAAAACATTTGACAGGTTTGAGAAAATATTTATAGTCCTCGCCACCCTAACTTGATCACAGAAAACATACTACTATAACCCAGAATGCCAACCTCATAGTAAAAAGCGTTAAGTACTTTGAGAGAGCTTTACCTGTCAGTTCGTAGGCAGCGCCACCAGCGTTGCTATACTGAGTGCATTGCAACGCTGGTGGCGCTGCCTACGAACTGACAGGCAAAGCTCTCTCAAAGTACTTAACGCTTTTTACTATGAGGTTGGCATTCTGGGTTATAGTAGTATGTTTTCTGTGACTTGAGGCAGCCCAAGGCCGCACGCCGTATATCTAGTGTGGCCTTGGGCTGCCTCAAGTTAGGGTGGCGAGGACTATAAGTAATAATCCAATGTTAATGAAAATTTGCTTTATTTGCTGCGGCGGGGGTATTTTTTTAATAAAAAACATTGTAATTAAAAGATTTGATTTATAATTTTCAGTCTTTTACATTATTACTTTTGACTATTCAATTAACAAGTACCCCCGCCGCAGCAAACCTGCAGAATAAGCGAACTTCCATTTGCCTAATTTGATTTTCCATTAAATCTATTTCAATAACATTAGGTTTAACGAGTACTCAGGTTTGCTGCCTACAGGTACGGTAATGAAGTGTGTTTTTTAGTAAAACATTAAGAGCTTAGTATAAATAAATAGCTTAAAATAAATAGATATGCCTATAAGTTTTACTGAAATATATGCATAAACAAGCAACAGTTCACTTATTCTACATAAGAATAACATGGGAATTTTTAATTTACAATTTTCTCCGTAACCAATAACCATACAAAAACACTTCAATATATTAAACTATTTGATTTTTTAAGCTCTTAGATTGGTCTAGAGATTAATTAGGAAATTTTATGTTTTGAGGGTCAAAGAGAAATAACCAATTTTTACCCAATAAATCCCCACCATAAAACCCCGTGCCCATGGTTCGATCATGCTGGTTTGTAGGTTTACATTTGTACCAAATTTCATTGAAATCAAAACATTTTTGTTCGAGTTATTGTGCTAACGGACAAATGTATATATATATATGAATTTGAGCGAATGGTGTTTTTGGCCTCTCAATGACATCAAAATGAAAAAGTAAATCAGTTCCCATCGGTAATAGCTTATTCCCTATATGGGAAATTTGCTAAAACAAAGTCATTGACATTAAAACATGTAAAACAATTTAAATTTGTCAGGAAAATGGGTTACAATACCATTACAAATAATTAGGTTGATATTCAGATCTTTCCTTTATTTTTACACCTATAATAAAACCAGTTATATGCTATTAGAGACTGAAAATATTGGGAGGATAATATCTAATAGTCAATTATAATGTCCAAAGTTTATTACATAACCATGGTAACAATATGTGCTTTAGCACCTGTCATTATGTACATAGTCTACATTGACGGTTATTTTATAATGCTCAAACAGTTAGTGGAAGTCCAAGCCTTGCTAGAACCATCTCCTTCCGCAACCTTATGATTTCCCAGTAGGTATCGTGAACTGTAAAAAAAACTTTGATTATGCTATGGAACTTGTTAAAAAAAAACAAATAGGCCTAGCATTTTATGTAGTTATGACAAAGTTTTACTGAACCCAAAGAATAGTGACCCCTTAAACAATAACTTGTCCTTGTTTTGTTATTTCTTCCAGGGTATGGTAGCATGGGTAGTGGGGCTGCAGGGTACAGTAGCATAGGGTACTTACTGGGACTGCAGGGTAGTGAAGCATAGGGTACAGGGGCTGCAGGGTAATGAAGCATAGGGTACAGGGGCTGCGGGGTAGTGAAGCATAGGGTACAGGCAGTGTTTCCATTCGCGGGATTATTATCCCGGAAACAGGATTTTTAGACCTTGAGCGGGATTAAAACGGGATGAGGGATAAAACGAGATTTTTGGCTGTGACGACTATTTTTATTTTTTTTCTACTTAATTTTTGAGGAAAACTAACTCAAATTGATTAAAAACTGTAGCAAAATATTAATAGTGATGTTTAAACAACTTTATAAACATGATACGTCAAGTATAATACTAGGTATTGTACAAAAAAAAATCATGCGGGATAAAACGGGATTTTTCACAATTTAAAAGCGGGATAAAACGGGATTTCTCGACCCAGTAAGCGGGATTATTTTTTTGGTCGTGTGGAAACACTGAGTACAGGGGCTGCAGGGTAATGAAGCATAGGGTACAGGGGCTGCAGGGTAGTGAAGCATAGGTTACAGAGGCTGCAGGGTAGTGAAGCATAGGTTACAGGGGCTGCAGGGTAGTGAAGCATAGGTTACAGGGGCTGCAGGGTAGTGAAGCATAGGGTACTGGGGCTATAGGGTACTGGGGCTGTAGGGTAGTGAAGCATAGGGTACAGGGGCTGCAGGGTAGTGAAGCATAGGGTACAAGGGTTGTAGGGTAATGAAGCATAGGGTACAAGCTGCAGGGTACGGTAGCATAGGGTACAGGGGCTGCAGGGTAGGGTAGCATAGGGTACAAGCTGCAAGGTGCGTTTTTGGCATAGGGTACAGGGGCTGCAGGGTAGGGTAGTGTAAGGTACTGGGAAGGGGTGCAGGGATATGGGCTGGTGTGGGTCTCTCCACCTTCAAGAACTACCTAGTCAATACCACTCGAAGGCGCAAGCTCTTTAGAACTCGAGGTGAACCAGGAGGTTCCTCAAGGATCTGTGCTGGGTCTCCTTCTATTCCTGGTCCCCATCAACGACATCGAAGGGATTTAGCTACAACCCAGGTCCAAGAAGCCAAAGCGAGGTTAAAGATGAAGAATCTGCAAGAGACAAAAACCTAGAGACTCAGGTCCAAGAAGCCAAGGTTTAAGATGAACAAGATGCAACTGAATGGAGACAAAAACCCAGAGACTCCTTTGACTCCTCTGATGACACAAAGCTCCTTGGTTTCCAGCTGGACAGCCGATTAGGCTTGAACCACCACATTGCCCATTTTGCCTTTGGTTGAGTGAACTGACTTCTGAGACTTCTATCTGATGATGATATACCATGCCCACATTGCATACGGACTGGATACCGAAGTAGAGGAAGTATTGGAGCTTCGAGAAGTGGCAATGCATCATCTCAATGAGCCCTTTTTAGAGAACACTGCAAACGGATTTTCAAGATTTGGGATTTTAACCTTCTGCAGCCACTACACTACGCCTGCACGATTGAAATCAAATGCAGTGTTCCACTTCTTAATACAAGAAGTCATATCCATGCTCATAACACCAGTGCTAGGCAGAATCTTGATGTACCCCGGGCAAGACTGAGCAGAACTCCTTCCCCACATCTACCATCAAGTTTTCAATCGACTCCCTTCCAGCATTCCATGTCTAGACGACCAGAAGTTCAAGACTGCTGTGGAATACTTGAAGAAAATACCATACTACAAGGTTACTGACTTCTTTGAAGATAATCTGGATCCAGACAGTTAAACTTTTGTACCGTCTGCTAGCTGCCCGCTCCAGATTATCTAGAACCTTGTAGTATGGTCTTTTCATCGTCTTTCACAGCAGTCTTGAACTTCTGGTCGTCCGAATGCTGGAAGGGAGTCGATTGAAAAACTTGATGGCAGATGTGGGGAAGGAGTTCTGCTCAGTCTTGCCCAGGGTACATCAAGATTCTGCCTAGCACTGGTGTTATGAGTATAGATCTTGTATTAAGAAGTGGAACACTGCATTTGATTTCAATCGGGCAGGTGTAGTGTAGTGGCTGCAGAAGGTTAAAATCCCAAGTCTTGAAAGTCGGTTTGCAGCTTTCTTTAAAAGGGCTCCGTGAAATGGAACGTGCCACTATTTGAAGCTTTTTATACTTCAGTGCTGGGATGCAGGTTAGGACAGCCTAGAGCATTGGCTGCAGCGTAGGGTACAAGGTCCGCTGCTGGGTTGCCTTCCCCTACACCATACCATACCCTACGCTGAAGCCCATGCACCCTAGGCTACTCTGCCCTGCTGCCCCAGCACTCCCAATGGAGTTCGTTCTTCGTCCTAAGAACCCTACCCTTCTTCCCAAGTATCCTACACTACCCTTCTAACCCAGTACCCTAGCCTACCCTTATAACCCAGTACCCTACCCTTCTATTCCAATACCCTACCCTACCCTTCTAACCCAGTACCCTAGCCTACCCTTCTAACCCAGTACCCTAGCCTACCCTTCTAATCCAGTACCCTACCCAGTAGCCCCTGCACCCTAGCCAGTAGCCCCTAGGGTTGCTAGGGTGAAGGGGCTGTAGCCTAGAATAGCCTGGGGTAGTGGCCTGCTGGGTAGGGTACCCTACGCTGCTGGCCCTGCACCCTAGGACACCCTACCCTGCAGCCCCTACACGCTAGGCTGCAACATAGCTAATAAGTACCGCTAGGCTGCAGCCTAGGGTGTAAGGGCTGCTGCCTTAGGGTACTGGGGCTACTGGGTAGGGTAGTGCCACCAGTACCAAACTGGCAGCCTAGTAAATAGGGCCCAGGGATGGCAGTGTAGCTGCTGGGTATGGTAGCCTAGGGTACTGGACTGCTGGGTAGGGTAGCCGAGGGTGTAGGGTACTGAGACTGCTACCCTCCCAGCAACCCCAAAACCCTACCCAGTAGGCCCAGTACCGTAGGCCTCCTCTGCAGGCACCTCTGCAACCCCTACACCCTACCTAGCTATGCTGGGATCCAGGGTAGGGCTCTAGGGCAGTTACCTAGGGTAATGGGGCTGCTGAGTAAGGTAGCAGAGTGGTAGGGTACTGGGCCCCTCGTCACCCTACCAGCAGCCTCAGTACACTGCAGCCCCTGCATCCTTGGATACACTACCCCGCAGCCTAGTACCCTAGGCTACCCAACAGCCCAGGACTGCAGCGTAGGGTAGCTTAGGGTCTAGAACTGCTAGGTAGGGAGTACTAGGCTGCAGGATAGGGTATCCTAGGATGCCGGAGCTGCTGGGCATGGGCCAGTGGGAGGGTGGCGAGTGGCCTAGTCTACTGTACCCAGCATCCACAGTACCCTAGGCTACCCTACCCTGCATCCACAGTACCCTAGGCTACCCTACCCTGCATCCCCAGTACCAGCTACCCTACCCAGCATCCACAGTTACCCAGGGCTGCAGCGTAGGGTAGCCTGGTCTGACTAGCCGCAGGATAGGAGGGCTGGGTACTGGGGCCAATGGGAGGGTGGCGAGGGGCCTAGTCTACCATACCCAGCATCCACATTACCCTAAGCTACCCTAGCAACCCTACTAGGCTAGGGTACTGGGTTAGAAGGGTAGGCTAGGGTACTGGGTTAGAAGGGTAGGGTAGGGTACTGGGATAGAAGGGTAGGGTACTGGGTTATAAGGGGAGGCTAGGGTACTGGGTTAGAAGGGTAGTGTAGGATACTTGGGAAGAAGGGTAGGGTTCTTAGGACGAAGAACGAACTCCATTGGGAGTGCTGGGGCAGCAGGGCAGAGTAGCCTAGGGTGCATGGGCTTCAGCGTAGGGTATGGTATGGTGTAGGGGAAGGCAACCCAGCAGCGGACCTTGTACCCTACGCTGCAGCCAATGCTCTAGGCTGTCCTAACCTGCATCCCAGCACTGAAGTATAAAAAGCTTCAAATAGTGGCACGTTCCATTTCACGGAGCCCTTTTAAAGAAAGCTGCAAACCGACTTTCAAGACTTGGGATTTTAACCTTCTGCAGCCACTACACTACACCTGCCCGATTGAAATCAAATGCAGTGTTCCACTTCTTAATACAAGATCTATGCTCATTACACCAGTGCTAGGCAGAATCTTGATGTACCCTGGGCAAGACTGAGCAGAACTCCTTCCCCACATCTGCCATCAAGTTTTTCAATCGACTCCCTTCCAGCATTCGGACGACCAGAAGTTCAAGACTGCTGTGAAAGACTTGATGAAAAGACCATACTACAAGGTTACTGACTTTTAGATAATCTGGAGCGTGCAGCTAGCAGACGGTACAAAAGTTTAACTGTCTGGATCCAGATTATCTTCAAAGAAGTCAGTAACGTTGTAGTATGGTATTTTCTTCAAGTATTCCACAGCAGTCTTGAACTTCTGGTCGTCTAGACATGGAATGCTGGAAGGGAGTCGATTGAAAACTTGATGGTAGATGTGGGGAAGGAGTTCTGCTCAGTCTTGCCCGGGGTACATCAAGATTCTGCCTAGCACTGGTGTTATGAGCATGGATATGACTTCTTGTATTAAGAAGTGGAACACTGCATTTGATTTCAATCGTGCAGGCGTAGTGTAGTGGCTGCAGAAGGTTAAAATCCCAAATCTTGAAAATCCGTTTGCAGTGTTCTCTAAAAAGGGCTCATTGAGATGATGCATTGCCACTTCTCGAAGCTCCAATACTTCCTCTACTTCGGTATCCAGTCCGTATGCAATGTGGGCATGGTATCATCATCAGATAGAAGTCTCAGAAGTCAGTTCACTCAACCAAAGGCAAAATGGGCAATGTGGTGGTTCAAGCCTAATCGGCTGTCCAGCTGGAAACCAAGGAGCTTTGTGTCATCGGAGGAGTCTCTTGAGAGGGGTCAAAGGAGTCTCTGGGTTTTTGTCTCCATTCAGTTGCATCTTGTTCATCTTAAACCTTGGCTTCTTGGACCTGAGTCTCTGGGTTTTTGTCTCTTGCAGATTCTTCATCTTAAACCTCGCTTTGGCTTCATGGACCTGGGTTGTAGCTAAATCCCTTCGATGTCGTTGATGGGGACCAGGAATAGAAGGAGACCCAGCACAGATCCTTGAGGAACCTCCTGGTTCACCTCGAGTTCTAAAGAGCTTGCGCGAGTGGTATTGACTAGGTAGTTCTTGAAGGTGGAGAGACCCACACCAGCCCATATCCCTGTACCCCTTCCCAGTACCTTACACTACCCTACCCTGCAGCCCCTGTACCCTATGCCAAAAACGCACCTTGCAGCTTGTACCCTATGCTACCCTACCCTGCAGCCCCTGTACCCTATGCTACCGTACCCTGCAGCTTGTACCCTATGCTTCATTACCCTACAACCCTTGTACCCTATGCTTCACTACCCTGCAGCCCCTGTACCCTATGCTTCACTACCCTACAGCCCCAGTACCCTATAGCCCCAGTACCCTATGCTTCACTACCCTGCAGCCCCTGTACCCTATGCCAAAAACGCACCTTGCAGCTTGTACCCTATGCTACCCTACCCTGCAGCCCCTGTACCCTATGTTACCCTACCCTGCGGCCCCTGTACCCTATGCTACCGTACCCTGCAGCCTGAACTGCCCTAACCCCTAGCCTCCGAACACAACACTACCCCTTTATAAGCTCCGTTACCCTACACTACCATGCAAGTAGACCTGCACCCAACACTGCCCTACCAGTATCGCTGCACCTAACACTACCCAGCCAGTAGCCCTGCACCTAACACTACCCTGTCAGTAGTCCTACACCCAACACTACCCTGCCAGTAGCCCTGCACTCGACACTACCCTACCAGTAGCCCTGCACCCAACACAGTCCTACCAGTAGCCCTGCACTCGACACTACCCTACCAGTAGCCCTGCACCCAACACTACCCTGCCAGTAGTCCTGCACTCGACACTACCCTACCAGTAGTCCTACACCCAACACTACCCTGCCAGTAGCCCTGCACTCGACACTACCCTACCAGTAGCCCTGCACCCAACACAGTCCTACCAGTAGCCCTTCACCCTGCACTCTAAACTACCCTGCCAGTAGCCGTGCACCCCAACCTAGCCTTTCAGAGGCCCTGCACTCCAAACTTACCTGCCAGTAGCCGTGCACCCCCCTATGCTACCCTACCCTGTAACCTCTGTACACTATGCTACCCAATCCCGTAAGCTCTGTACCCTATGCTACTCTACCCCGTAACCTCTGTACACTATGCTACCCTATCCCGTAAACTCTGTACCCTATTACCCTACCCCGTTACCCTATGCTACCTTACCCCGTAAACTCTGTACCCTATGCTACCCTACCCTGTAACCTCTGTACCCTATGCTACCCTATCCCGTAAACTCTGTACCCTATGCTACCCTACCCCGTAAACTCTGTACCCTATGCTACCCTACCCTGTAACCTCTGTACACTATGCTACCCTACCCTGTAACCTCTGTACACTATGCTACCCTACCCCGTAACCTCTGTACACTATGCTACCCTATCCCGTAAGCTCTGTACCCTATGCTACTCTACCCCGTAACCTCTGTACACTATGCTACCCTATCCCGTAAACTCTGTACCCTATGCTACCCTACCCCGTAAACTCTGTACCCTATGCTACCCTACCCTGTAACCTCTGTACACTATGCTACCCTACCCTGTAACCTCTGTACACTATGCTACCCTACCCCGTAACCTCTGTACACTATGCTACCCTATCCCGTAAACTCTGTACCCTATGCTACCCTACCCCGTAAACTCTGTACCCTATGCTACCTTACCCAAAATCTCTGTACCATGTGCTTCCCTTACCTCATAACCTCCGTCAGGGTGGCTAGTGAAATCACATTGAAAAATTCCCTGACTTTTCCCTGACAATTCCATGATTTTTTTAAACTTTACCTGATCGACAAATTCAAAATTACAATTTTAATACTACCGGTAACTAATTCTTCAAAAGGACTAATCTTTATCTGAAGAATATCTTATGTTTCTTTACACGAAAAAATACATAAAATCTATAGATACAGGCTAGCTTATATTCAAACTTTGCAACTTGCCTTTAAAATTAGAGTTTGATAAGATGATACACAGTTTAAACCAAATTTAATTTGTACAAAAACACAAAATTTTTTTTTACAGACATAATTCTTAGTTTTCACCCATACGGCATACGTACTATTACCAGATCGACCTTTCCTGACAATTATTAAAATTATTTTAAAAATTTTACAATTTTCCCTGACTTATAACAAAATTCCATGACTTTTCCAGATATTTAATATTCCCTGACATTTCCAGGTTTTCCAGGTCACTAGCCACCCTGCTCCGTACGCATACCCCACCCTAACCATATATACCCTACCCCGTAGACCCTGTACCCTCCAAACCATATTAACACACATTAATTAATGACTGTGATTATAAGGGCCACTCACAAGATCTTAGGAGTCTTGAGAATTGTAAATCCTCCATTCTGGTGGAGAAAAACATCCTCTAAGAAGTAGTAACAAAGTCGTACAATCCAGATGTTGTCCAGCAGAACTGAGAATCCCAGCAGCATCCGGGGTAGGCAAAAGCTACCCTGGAGAAACCCTGGACATACATCACAGCTGTAGTTGTACAATACACGCTGAATTGCTCTACATATCAGGCCTACTTAGCTAACTGTTAAATACCTCCTGTACTGTTTCAGGCTATGAACGATGACACCTCTTTTTCCTTGGCTTCCGTAGATGTTATTCCGGTTACCAGGAAAATGTTACAGAACCACACAAATGGGGAGCGAGTGAGAGAACTATGGTCGGAACTCTGTGAGACACTGAAAGGGAAACTTGGACAAACATCGGAGCAGTTGGACTACTTAACGACATCCAGGATTCACCCAACTGAGAACTTCATGATTTGTCATCTCCATATATGACCCTACAATTGTCTTGCAACCGTGTGGTCACCAATTGTATAACACTGGTGTAAATAAAATATGATATTAACCTAAACAGTTGTTCTGACTAAACCTAATCGTGGATGAGGTTATTTTAAGTTAAATACAGGAGAGTTAGTTTAAATTTGCCAGTAAGGTAGTATGTTTGTACACACTTGACTTAAAAGGCTATGTCACAGCTGACTGCTTGGCGGGATTCGCTGTCCGCTAACACTTACGGTGCAGGGCTTAAATAATACTGCTCTAAGTAATATTATGTATACTGATAAACCCCATAGTCTAAAAAAAATTCAAATTAATAGGCCCACATAAAATAATTTTTTAAATTCCATTTGCTTTAAGTTTTCGAAAATAGTAAAATCCAACTCATTATTCAGGTAAATATCCTACTCACTTCTCATAACTATGCTGAAAAGAAAAGATTAAAGAGGTGTCATTTTGCAGCATTTCTATGCTACCTGTATCCTGTATCATGCTACTCTATCCAGTAGCCACTGTACCCTACACTGCTCTACCCAGATACCACTTTATCCCACACTGTGTGTTAACTGGAGAACATGAGTGAGTCAATTAGAGTTACATTCAGTCCAAAAATAGTCTTAGACTGATTATGAAATACATTCATTTTAACTTCAACACACATTAATAATAATAGTGCTAATAGAATAAAAGTGCTACTCACAAGATCAGAGGAGTCTTATCCTCCGTTGTGGTGGGGAAAGACATCCTCTAACAAGCAGTAGCAAAGTCGTACAATCATCTCCATGAGGTCCAGCCACACCCAGGGCAGTTACGGAGCCTGGACATACAAACATCACAGCTAGAGTTGCACAATACACGCTGAATGGCTCTACATATCAGGCCTACTCAGTTCTCAGTTAAATAACCTAATATCTATACTGACATTTTGAAGTTTTCAAGATTATATCCTAGAGAGTTCAGGCCCAGACTGGCTAGGTCGGCGATCGCGGAGGGCCCCCGGCTCTTTCGCAAATTACAAGAAAATGTTGTTACTTCTTAGAAATTATCAAATGTTCTTAGCAATGTTTTGTTTACATTTTCCAAACTAGAGAACTGTGAACTGTGTTTAACAACTGTTTGTATCTTGTTGTTTATATATAAAGGCATACAACCTACTGTATGTAGCCTATTGTTAGTTGATATGTTGTTGTAGTGTAATACATCGTCTGCGCAGTGACTTGTGTTGTGGATAGCAGACAACGACAGAGTGATGTTCTTTCATATCAGCTGATTACTCAGCACAAAAGACAGGATAAGAAGAAAAAGATACTGGAATATTTCCCGATGTGCCAATATTCGATTCCACCGATTCTGGAACATTGGTATGTATATCGAGAATAATTGATCGTCAAGAGTCAATACCGCTACCGATACCTAGAAGTGGATAGGAATAATTCAAATTCAAAAATCAATTGACGAAATTCCACCATACAATTTCGATTTTTTTTACACTGCTGCATTTAAAAAGCAGTAACATAAAGGTCAGCTACGTATATGCTTGCGTTAACGCACGAAACACGGCTAGCACATAAATGCAACTGTAATAATTTCTGTAAAAACACAAGAAAATTCAGAGAGAAGGCCTACAGCTAGTATTGCACAATGGACAATCCATTCAGCTAGTATTGCACAATGGACAATTCATTGTCAATCAACCAGCGACGATGTCCCTACAGCTACTGCATCGTCATGCCTACAAAAAAATATTGTCATAAAGAAAGGGTATTAATAGTATGCTCTATTGGAAAGACAATTCTATTTTAAACTAGCTGTGTGCCTGTTCTACGCACGGGGATCTTATCATAGTCACTTTAAACCTTCTTATATAAAGCACAGCAGTTGGTTTGCATACTTTCAGATATGCTGACAAAACTTTGTATATAAACCTTCGCAAATACAGTATCTGACAGTTTCAATCCAAAACCATAGACTAACCAACCTAACACACCACCATAGAGTAACCAACACAAGTAGACTTCTCATCCCATTGTAAATTTTGAAGCACGTTTTTCGTGTCTAGTTCATGTACGTGACACAAAGGCGCTAGTGTCGATGAAACTTTGTTTCCATTATTTTAGGGTTAATTTCTTGATTTGTGCTTTACTGTTTTTTTATATAGCTAGGGGACAAGTTATTGTTTATGATTAGATCGTATTATTTGGTTAAACGAGGTTTTAAATGGCTGTAATAACGAGAAACAAATTGTAAACAAAACACGACCTCTACATAAACCGTACATGAACTAACAATAAAATTGTCTTCAGCTGTTCCATAAGGATGAGAAATCTACTAAGGGAGTATGTTTTATCTATGCCAAAACTAATGATTTGCAATTAAATGTCACCCAGATCTTGTTGGTCCATATGTTAAATCCAATGATTAAACTAAAAAATGCTTTATAGATCTATAAGGCATAGCCCTAAGGTAAGCCTATAATTGAAAGTTACTTTCCACAATGGTTAAAAGTATTTAAGGTACTACCTCAACCTCACAATTTAACACTTTATTCGGGTTGACATTTTCATTATCAAGGTGCTCTTGTTGTTGAGGAGAGTTATTGTATATATTTCTGATTTTGTGCTTCATTACGTTATATTATTAGCTAATTATTATAAATGCTGTATTTCATATGTAGTTTTAGCTTAGAGTTGTGAAGTAGCAAACATGCATTCTCGTAGGGCAATTGTCGGCTTTTAGCGCCGGTAACAGAGTAATAAACCGTCGTCCTTCTGCGAAAGGACGGGCCCTTCCTCACCACTTTTAGAAAGTTGCAACCCCAATCGAGGGTGAGGAAGGTGTCTTTTATTCAGTTATAGTCAGTGTCTCGACTAGCATCACATTGTCAAGTTCGTTTCGTAGTTTTCGCATAGGACGTGTGAGGCAGACCCCTCCACGTATTTCATTAGTCTTAATTCGCATTCAATAGTACATTCACATTAGTTTTTCGTTATAGCATTTTAGTCAATCATTTATACAGTCCACTTATATTATCACATCAATAAATTAATAGTTCGTTTTTAAAGTGTTAGTTCTTTATTATTTCCATAACATTGGCGTACCATCACGCGCCGCAACATGGTCCTATCGAGCCGGATTCGCGACATCGTGCGAGTGAACAGTCATCGTGAACGGTGTTAGTGAACATTCGCAGTGAACAATCGTAGTGACAAGTGTTATATTCTACTTTGTGTTTTGGATTACCACCATCATCTTCACAATAGTAAGTCATAATTCATTTTCCTTTGCTCAAACAAGCTACAATGGCTGAAGAAATGAGAAAGTTAGTTATCAAAAGAGATACTATCAAGTCCAAAGTGACCAGATTTCAATCTTTCCTTGAACAAATCAGTCAGACACAAGATTTTTCCCAGCTAGAAGATAGAATAGCTGTATTTAGGGATCATTTATCGGAGTTTGATCTAGTACAATCAGAAATAGAACTGGCAGACTCCGTTAGTGATCACAATCTAGAGTGGGAGTCATTCGAAGACTTATACTATGAACTTTTAGCAAGATCTAAGGCCCTACGTGCCAAATCAACAAATACTAGTGAATCATTGCCGTCAAATACTGAACAATCCTATTCAGTGCAACAAGTCAAGCTACCCATTGCAGGATTACCCACTTTTGGAAAAAAGTGCAATCACCTGGAGCCGATTGACTTATTAGTTGCCGCCGATGAAATTGGACTTCGGGGCATTTGTCCAATGGGACAAATGCAGCCACAGCAGGAAGCTCCCATCTTTCAAAACACTTGTTTAGGATGGAAATCCTCGGGGAATTTTTCTGATAGCAAAAAAGCTGAAACCGAGAGATCGATTTGTCTTCAAACCACAGACGATAAACGTCATTCTCGATCCCTACAATTCTGGAACACGATCAGCTGTGACCAACCAGAATCACAACTTGATAGCAAACAGGCAAAGTGTGAACAAACATATATCGAAACAACAGTCAGGGACACTACCGGGAGATACACAATCAAGTTGCTAGTAAAATACGACCTAAGTAATGCAGTTGACAATCAAACGCATGGGGAATCAAGGTTTTGTCAGTTGGAGAAAACACTGTCAAACTCCACGCTGCATCAAGCATACTCAAATTTCAAGAAAAAGTATCCCTTCAACCAACGTGCGAAAATGGACAGCGGAGTCTACCAACATCATTCCTTTTCTACCAGTGGTTACAAGAAAGGACAACGAGCTGCCAATGGAGCGTTTCACCGGACGTGCCACAGAGATCCACCCTGGAGACGACGGCAGAGTGTGAATCGCCACCGTCAAAACAACCACTGTCAACCGTCTGTGCGTCCTACCCGTGGAGTGACGTCACACACTGCAACAGCTGGGAACTACCCTTAACCATCTGTGTCAAGTGTCAAGTGAGTGAGTCAATAGTGATAGTGTAAACATTAGAATCTCCAAGCCAAAGTGAAAGTGTAACATAAAAAATCTACATGATAATTGCAATTTAGGATAAATCAATGTTTCAAATTTATAGCTTTAGTTATGTTTTTAACAGTTGTAGTCTTTTGCATTATCATTTTTTAATCGTTTTCATAGTAGTTTTGTTATTGCATTTGAATAACCAATGAGTTCAATCGTTATTATTATTATTATTTATCGTTGTTAGGGTTAATTAATCGATTTTGCACATAATTATTTGTTGTATGATATTTAATTTTCGTTCATTTAATCATCTATCTTGTATGCATTTAAATGACTATGATTTGCATTTAATTATTTGTGTTAATGATCATTTAAAGTAACATAGTTATCATGTCGTATATAAAAGTGTTATCATTTTAGTCATTTTACTGTAATTTTGTAAGATTAGTAGCATATTCGTTCATAATCATTGATTTCATATTAATTGCATCATCATTTTGTTGTTTTCATGTTTAAATATACTTAAATATACGTACTTCGCTTGTGTCGATTTGTGTCATTGTGTTTATTCTATAGGATAAATCAATGTTTCAAATATAAAGCTTTAGTTATGTTTTTAATAGTTGTAGTATTTTGCATTGTCATTTTCCATCGTTTTCATAGTAGTTTTGTTATTGCATTTGAATACGGTAACCAATCAGTTCAATCGTTATTATTATTATAATTTATCGTTGTTAGGGTCAATTAATCGATTTTGCACATAATTAATTGTTGTATTGTATTTCATTTTCTCGTTCATCTAATCATTTAACTAACTTGTATGTATTTAAATGGCTATGATTTGCATATAATTCTTTGTGCTATTGATTATTTAACTTAGCATAGTTATCATGTAGTATATAAAAGTGTTATCATTTTAGTCATTTTACTGTCGTTTGCCAGATAAGTAGCATATTTATTCATAATCACTTTTTTCATATTGATTACATCATCATGTTGTTGTTTTCTTGTTTAAATGTACTTAAATATTTGTGTTCTTATGTTGTTCAGTCAATAAAATATATTCAATCATTGTAAATAGGATTTGTAGCATCGTGTTAGATATTAAAACCATAGAAGCGTGATTCAAAATATTTTTGCACTTAACAATTTAACTTTATAGTCTTATAATCTCGTTTTGTACAATTAGTGTGTCATTGTTAGTTTTATTAGGTCATTGACAAATCATTATCATGAGTTCTGATTTTTCATGTGTATATTAAAAGCTTTATCATTTAACTTGGTTTTTATAACAGAAATCATACTCGTGTTTAGCATATAAGGTATTTTACAAGATTTTATACGTACTTCACTCGTGACGATTTGTGTCATTGTGTTTATTCTATCATTT